CAATAGCGGTGTCAGCCTCGTAAAATGGCCGATGCAACAGAGAGCCCCTCCTGACTCGTCGGGGGGTGGGTGGGTTCTTTCTCTGTAGCAGCAAAAAACAAGCTTGCTCCAGCCTCAATATGACATCTATTCAGATATTTGAACAGGACTATCATGTTTCAGATGGGTCAAGAAATGTAATTTCAACAAGAAAAGGCTGTTAATGATTTATTTGATGCCACCACAGGATTAAATTTCAACAGTAAAGATTTTGGGGCTTTTAAAGTGCTTTTTGAAATTCAGCATATTCTTGTGTGCCATCAATCTCATCAATGAGCAGTCATGGCTTTTGCTAGCAAGGTTTTGCTAGTTTTGTTTCAGTCAGTGACTGAAATGGCAACAGGAGCAACAGAAAAACCTAGTGTTTTAGCAGTCTGTCAAATTGTTCCTGTCAGAGAGATTATTTTCCTCAACCTGAAAATATCATGACATTTGTTGTTGTTGTTGAGTAAAAGGGCAGACTTCCAGTTTATTTTCTCACAGATCTGTTGCAATTCTTTTCTCTTTACTCAACAGAGGAGTGTTTGGTTTTTTGGTGGATTCCCCCTCCCCTCAGTATTTCCCTCTTGATATTATTTTTAAAGTGCAATGAATCACTGTGAGGTTGGTATAGCTTCGAAGCACTGCTTGCTGACAGGACTTGAGTACTTTATGTGTCTGTGGTCTTCTGCAACTTTGAAAACTGTCACAATAACTAATATATAGCACAGTTCTTATTACAGATGTCAAGTCACTTTAGAGCACAGTTTTTACTGCCTAATTTGAAAAATGCATAACATCATGAAATTCTAGACTAGAAATCAATGGATAGGCTTTATTTCACTATTAGCCATGCAAATATACGCTTTCAGCAAAATACAGTCTTAGGCACAGCCTTTTGTTTACAAGACAGATTGTTATTAAGTTTCACTTTATCTGTCCTTCCTTTTCCAGATTTTTGAAGATTGTACTCCACTGTGTCTTAAATTTAATGTAACACTAAAGCGTGAAACTCCCTGGATTTGCACTGGATTAGACATTTACATAAGCATTTTTATCATTATACTTGAGTAAAAAAATGGTTTGACTCAATTTAGTCAATTCTGCAGCTCCCCAATATGGATTAAAACTGAAACTGTTTCAATTTGTGATGGGGATTCATTTATTTTGAGATCTTCTAGGGAGGTCCTATTTTCTGATCAACCATCTTCACAGACACAGACCACAAAAATCACCCTAGGCTGCACACAGGTTGCACTTTCTTTAACCCCTCACATAGCTGCTGGTGAAATTAATTTCTCTTCCCCATTCCTTTTACTTTCTGTGTCATGTCTTAGGTAGATTGTAAGCTGGAGGGTGGGAGCTGTTGGATAAATTATTTGTAAACTGGTTTGTTTTTCACTAACGGTGGCGGTATAAATGTTTCAAATAATCATCACCACCACCGGATCTATCTATCTATCTATCTATCTATCTATCTATCTATCTATCTATCTATCTATCTATCTAGAGAGATATTTTAAAAATACAGCCTGTTCCTGCTAGGAAACCACTGGTTTGTTGGCACCAGAATAAAAGGACCTTGCATACTGGTAGAAGTGTTGGGGGGGGGGACTTTCAATAAGGAGAGGTCAACTATGCCCCTTTTTTACACTGTACAATGATTGGCTTTTGATGCTACTTTAACTGTCATGCCTTCATCCTCTAGAATCCTAGGATTTGAAGTTTGGGGAGAAATTTAGATTACAGACTACAAACCAGACTACAAACCCCAGGAGTCCATAGAATGCAGCCATGACAATTAAAGTAGGATCAAAGTGCTATACCAGTGTAGCGAGAAATTCCCTGAACAGCAAGTTGCAGAGTCTGGGCATGGCTATTGAGAAAATTATTTATCACCAAAGACCTCAAATTGTCTCAGCTTAGTAGGGAAGGGGACATGAAAAAATAATTGGGTAAACTGCCCCTGCCACTTCCCATTCTAGAGGTCAACCTGCTGAATTAATTGGGGAAAAAGCCCAAGACCCTGACAGTCATTTAAGCAATGGGTTCTGATGGTTACCTCTTTTGAGGACCTGCATGCCTCCCCACTGTTACAATGGCTGTTTCCTGATTCTCACAGTATCTCTATCTCTTTTCAAAACACACTTCTCCCACTACCTAGAAATAGCCTCAGACTTGTGTAATTTGATAAGGTTCCCTTGAGCAGGCAAATCTAGTCTACCTCTGCAGAAGCTAAAGGTAGGCTGGAGGTAGTAAAGCACACTTAATAGTTATCTAGGTAAGGTACTTTGCTCTTCTTCATAACCTATTGTGAAAATGGAGATAATGCTTTGGTAAGGCCTCACCTGGAATAATGTGTCCAGTTCTGGGCACCACAATTTAAA